TTAAATTAAAATGCGATATAAGGTTAAATACAATATTCTATACTCTAATGGAAGATATTTTTAAATATTAAGAAAATGCTTTTGTTTCAAGATATTAAAGAGATGAGCGGTAAATAGGACACTGACCAAGCTTGCAGATTACTGTAAACTACAGAAACAAACTACAAAAAAAAGCTAATAACTATAACGACAAAATATTTGATAAAGAAAATATCGAAAAATGCGTTTCTTTAATTTTATTTTACTGTGCCCATATACGCTGATAATAACAAAGAAACAATTAATTACAAGAACAAATAAAATATTGTATTATATGACAATCTCAATTCGGGAATTTACAATATTTTAAAACTTCATCAACACGCATTTAAAATAATAATTGCGGTAAAATATACCCTTAAAATCGTATATCTTTTTAAGTCTGCTTTGAATGCAATTAAAACATAATTTATCCGTAATATTTAAATTTTACTCAAAAACCCGTCAAAATTATCTGTGACGAAATTGTTCAAATTGACAGCCAGATGACAGCTTACTAGATATATCTACATTTTGAGATATATCACATCACATCGTTAGTAAACTTAGGTCAAAATTGGACATGATGCTTTAAACTGTTGTGTTGTGTAAATCGCAAAGAAAGCAATTAAACCTGTAGGTCCAATCTGCTAATGTTTACGTAATAATATCTCAATAGAATCTAAACTACTTGTATTTTGCCATTGTACTTACTATCAATCTAAAGTCCATTATTATTAATATATCTATCTCCATTGATTGGCAAACTTTGTATAACATTTCACTACCTGAAGTCCATTATATATCTGCCACCGTTGATTACCAAATTTTGTATAAAATTTCTATGTCCAATTACTGCATAATTTATGGATAATTTGAATAAAAAAGTACACAATGTTAACAGCGCTATAATAGATGGCATAATAAGGACAATCATTTATGTAAAGTCCCTATAAAAAAGTATGGTAATGACCAATGCATGGACAATTTCACTGCATGGACAATTTGTCAGCAGTATTGTAGCTATAGGCCACTAGTTTCCACAATGACCTTGTTCCAAATATCGTGTGACTGTTATCGCTGTCACGTTTAATCCTTTCTACTCGGTATGCTTATTTTAGTTTGAATACCATCATTTATCTCTATTAATAAGTGTCGATGGAACTCACTGCGAGAGACCGAACACGACTTGACCGATTTTTAAATTGTCTATAGGTACTATTATTATAAAGAGGGACCATTTGTTTGTTTGTATCAACACCGGTTCCGAGATTAATGAGCCGATTAAAAATTCTGTAGGTGAACGGCAAGTTACATCATATGCGGGGTAACATTTAACGCGCGCGAAGTTGCGGAAAACGTTCTTAGGTCACATTTAGAGATTCATTACCCGTCATCAGGGTGCTAAGAGGGATAAGCCGGGCCTATAAGATTATAGTATATGAGGATTTTTAGATGGTTTTCATAATTGCAACTAGTTTTCACCAAGTTCAGAAAGATTTTTTTTTTTTAATTTTCAATAGTGTGTTTTTTAGATCTTTTTATTACAACTTTAGGAAAAATAAAATATATTATCTTGAAACTATTTAAAAGATAATACCACTTTTAAACAGTTCCATAGATTGTATTTTTGAATAATTATTACATTTTCAAACGTTTCAGAGCTAGAATTAAAAAAATAGAGAATATCTAAACTTCCTGTTTCGGAGCCTTGACAGGTCCGTATTTAGACAATAATTCATGAAAAAATTCAATGTCGTTTTGTTTCAATGAGTAGTCTATGAATATGTTAAAGTCAAGTAATTATTATAAGTGAACTTTGACCATAATAAAAATACAAAAATAAAATTTACTTACCTGCCCCTTATCTTTATTACAATTTTCTATACCGCCTTGTCCCTTTATTTCGAGCCCTGTTACTGAAGCTCTGATTAGACTGTTAAAATTAAACCCTCATTTTATCATTTGAAAAGCTTTACAAGGTTTACTTTTTGAAGGGTCTATTACCAAGTAGAGTCGCTTGCCTCATCGCCTTTAAAGTCAAAGTTGAATGATTCAAAATTTCTTTTTATAAGTATATTAGAATAAAGATAATTTTCACTTTAACTATGATAAGGTAAGCGTCTCTAAGGTATGGTATAGGTAGTTCTTTCTGTTAGAGTAAGTAAGATTTACAAAATCTTGCCATTACCAAATTGCACTTAAATTAATTATATATCATCAACGACTGAGTTTGACGGTCGTACACTATGGGTCTCATAAGAAGGCTCAAGGTCAGTCAACGAGCAATATAGAGGGCAATGCTTGGTATTTCTCTACGCAATCGAATTAGGAATCAGAAGATCCGTTGGAGAACTAACGTTACTGACATTGTTCGAAGAATTGCTCAGCTAAAGTGGCAGTGGGTGGGACACATGGCGAGAAGAACTTATGGCCGTTGGGGCGGAAAATTTCTCGAATGGCGAGGACATACCGGACGCCGCTCAGTGGGTAGGCCCCCCACCAGATGGAGGGACGATCTTATAAAAATAGCGGGAAGCCGCTGGATGCGGGCAGCATCAAACCGATTGTCCTGGAGATCAATGGGAGAGACCTATACTCAGCAGTGGACGTTTTATAGCCGATGAAGGATCAACAGACTTTATTTGACTCTGAGGTCGATTTGCTATTTAATCGGACCTTACAATAAGCCTTCTTAACCAGTATTTTTTCATATAGTAGATTAAAATTGATAGACCTTATTGTAGAAGCGTACATAAAAAGACAAAGAAGATTACACCTGTTTAAGATTATTACGAACTAAGTAAATTTTCATGTAAATAAGCATTCTTATATGTCCGCATTTTATTTTGTATTAGGTATTTTTTAATTTACATTATTCTTTATGTTACTAATATACCATACAAAGGAAATATTACACCGTCCAATTTTCAAATTTACAAAATTTTTAATGCTTTGACGCGTTCAGTTATGGGTGATTGAAATTATTTCAGCATCATCTTCTTCTAAATGTTATTCTTACTAACAATGAGGTCATTTATTTATTTTTTTTTTACAATGAAATTGGTTTCATTGCTATTTGAATGCAATATAAGGCGTATAGGTCCTCGCCTTAAACAAAAATTTCTTCAAATTTTTTTCAAATCATTCAATCAGTCTATTAAATTTATATCCAAGGTACCGAAGGTTCTGTACAAATAGGCCAAAATCATTAATCATTAAACCAGCTTACATAAAACTATTTGTGTGCAACTATTTTTACTTTTAAGTAGTTTGGGAGTTGTGGCAATGATCAATTTGATCAATTTTTTATATATTTTGAAAACTTAATTATAAAATAGTTTAGAGAATAGTAGGTTTGAAGAAAATATTTGAGTTACTCACCACAAGCGCTTTCATTTGATATGTCACGTGATATAGGTACTTTATAAAATATAACTATTTTTCTTATTTTCTAATTGCGAAATTGGACATTGAACCAAAGAGTGGTCATTCAGCATTCATATTAATTTTCTTTGAGCTATTTTCAGTTGATATTCTGTCCGGTCCTTATAATATGTATAAGTACCTACTCATTTCTTTTGAGTGCCGCCTTTATTATATGTATACATTTAATCTACTAGCTGTTCCACGATTTCAAAATATAGCTGATGATGTACCTTCCCGTAGGTGAAACAATTTTCAAAATCCGTCCATTAGCTTCGGAGCCGATTCAATGCAAACAAACAATCAAAATTTTTACTCACAATCTTTTTTTTTCTCACTTAGTACAAGTTTAAGTATGTTTAGTAAAACCTCCTTTCCAGTCACATCTAAAAGAATATCACCCATTAAAATGTATAATCAATATGGCCGATGACAAGTAGTGACAAATTTAGTAGTTGAATTTAATATTAGCTAAGTATTTCTAAATTGTGCTGTGTGAATGTCATATGTGGCGAATGAATTTTCTTGAACAGCTAAAAGACGCGACTGCGTCGTGACACCTAGTAAGTGAACACATAATTTAAAAACCTTTGAAGACATATCAACTAACATATCTAATTTAATTGTGATTAAGTTTTATCCTAAAGTTTATATCTTAATACCTATTTATTAGCTTTTCGCTAGCGGCCTCGACAGCGTTATCCTGTATTATAGATATAAACTTTCCTCATGAATCTTAAAAGATCTCAGTAAAAATGTAACGCTGTTGACATAATGAGGCAGTAATAGGTATATGTATATTTCAATCACATTTTAAAGAAATATTATCAAATCTTATTACAAATTGATTGTGATATTGAGAGTTTCATATCTCTAGTCTTATATAAGTATAGAGAAGAACCTACCAAGAAAAGTTAATAACCATAATAATCAGGTGTCTTAAATAAATTGAAGTCAATAAAGACTCGAACCCCTCGGTTCTACAAAATCTTAAGCAAAGAGAAAAATAATATAAATCTTATGCAATATGTTGCCTTTTAGCCGACAAAAGAGAAAGCTCTACGACGCAGGATGACGCGAATATTTTACTATCTATCGATATATAAATCTAATTACTCGAACAATAATGCTCTTATTACTCCAGAATACTACGATAATAAATAAATTTGAACAAAAACTTTACAAAAACACCATAAGAAACACTTTCACAAAATCTAGATAGTTTTATAGAGCAAAGTTACAATAAAGACCAAATCTTCTTATATAAAAAACCGCATCAAAACTTCCTTTTTTGAAGGCTGTTAATAATAATAATATTGTCGGAATCTTCTCACGCCTTCAAATTAGCAATGTTGTGGATACGGGTGTCGATGTTGAATATACGAGTTTGACCGATTTCCAAAAAAATAATTAAGTATTTGCCGATGTAAAGTTTTCTGCGGACAGAACTCCTTATAATTTTTACACTATTATGTAACGATTTTTATATTATATTCGTCCTTAATATTAGCTTCACCTAAAATAATACGTAAGTAATTAATTTTCTCTTTTGTCAGGTTTTGGAAGTCTCGTAGGTTTTTCTTGGGCAGCGTGTTGGCGGCTCTAATCACAGGCGCGCTGGTAGCAGTGCTGGTGCTGCAGCCATGGTCGAACGTCGAACAACCACGCTTCCTGCACGCCGCAGTCGCTGCTAATGGCTATGAATGTGCTTCTATTGGACGGTGAGTATTAGATGCTGATTCGAAACCTATGTTCACAGAACTTATGGCATACAAGGGCGTATGAGAGAGCAAAGCGTATACACGATGTCATGCAAAGGTACGATGCATCAACTGTATATACCTACATGTACCACCTCCTCTCGCATTACTATATTACTCTCGCATTATTCGGTCTTGCCTTCCTACAATTGCTCCTTTATTTATTATATATTTCCTTTCTTTATCTTCGAATATCATTTTCCTCTTTTTCTGCCAAAATCAGTTCCTTTCCTTGTTTGTTTTCAATTCGAGTAGTCCATGATAGAGGGAAACAGATTTGAATTTTCATAGTATTATAACCCCTATCCTGGAAACTTGTCTTTAGTAAAAACATAAATAATTATCTCTTGCAGTGAAATCTTGGAAAAACAGGGGTCCGCGGTCGATGCAGCAATAGCGGCATTATTCTGCGAAGGAGTGTCGTGTGCACAATGTATGGGCCTGGGCGGCGGTTTCCTGGCTACGGTGTACGACGCACCAACGAAACGAGTGAGGGCTCTGAACGCTCGGGAGCGAGCACCGGGTCTTACCACAGAAGACATGTACGCGAACGCGTCGTCGACCGTAGGGGGGCTCTCGATCGCCGTACCAGGCGAACTGCGCGGATACGGCGAGCTTTACCGGGAATACGGACGCCTGCCGTGGGCAGAATTAGTCCGTCCCACCGTGGAGTTGTGCCGCAATGGACACCGCGTCAACTCGTACATGGCACGCGTGCTGCAAACGTTCAGCGAGAGAATCAAAGCCGAACCATCAATGAGGTTTGTGACATTAATGTTTTGATGCCTATTTCGGCCGCAATCTAGAAACAAAAAATCTAGATGGCCGCCTATGCCTTTTTCAGCATGATTTTTAGAGATTATTATTAATTCTCACGTAACTTCCGATTTGTTAAAACGTGAAATGATCTTGCTCTCCCCTTAATTAAAAAAGTAAAGCTGCTGAACTATCTTTTTATTTAACACAATGTTATTTTATTAGTTATTTTGCCATACGATTTCATAACACAAAGTTGTAAAGTTAAACCTAATTTCACTGTAAACGTATATTTCCTCAGCGAGGTGTATTTGAACCCGGAGACGGGCGAGGTCTGGAACGAAGGCGACCTCGTCAAGAATTTGGCGCTAGCAGACACCCTCGAAATAATAGCGCAGCAGGGCCCGGAGGCGATTCACAACGGCTCTCTTACGGCGCAACTCGTACGAGACATCCAAGGGTTTGGTGGTATCATAACAGAAGACGACTTGAGGAACTACAGGTGAAATTTTTCATTTAGTATTCAGAAATCTTAAACGGTCACGCCGTTTAAGATTTAAAATCGTTGGTTAGATAAGTAGCATTATATTGAAGATATCCGTAGATATTGAAATACCGTGAATGATGACCCTGGTTGTACTTCTACGTAATGAAGTAATGATACGGTAAATACCTAAATACAATAAATAAAATCTATTACTTCCGAAAAACTAATTAAAATCCAATTCAAATGAATATTGCATTCAACGTTATTTTCGTTTTACAATATCGTTGGCATACAACCTAAAGCAGTTTTGCAATCTAAATGTAGATCAAAGTAAATCCTAGTTATTTTTGATAAAAGCATTGTTACTGCTGAGGAGCCTTCTAGTCATATTTACATTTTGTTTCTTTGCGTTAAACGGGTTAACGTTAAACTGATCTTTCAATTCAGGGTAGAATGGAGCGACCCCATCGCGGCACCACTCACAGACGAGCACACGTTGTACTCGGTCCCGCTGCCAGGTTCAGGCTCGGTCCTAGCGTTCATATTGAACATGCTCCGCGGCTGGGTGGGCGACGGCACAGACGTGCCGGTGGGCTCCAACCTCTATTGGCATCGCATCGTCGAGACATTCAAGTTCGCGTACGGAAGACGAACAGGCCTCGGCGACCCTACACGCTCTGATTTGGGTCAACAAATTCAGCAGGTGCGATCTACCTCTTTGGCTTATTAGTGGAGGGTCCAAGGCAATGTTTCTAAATCAACATAAATATAAGAAATTCCAATTGCCGATATCTTCATATTCCTTAATGAATGAAAGGGAAAATCACTTTTACTTCATTAATACATTAACATTAAGAATTATAAAAACAAACAAAGGAAAAGGTTAAAATTTAATGACTGCAGTGACAACTATGACATTTGAAGCATGTTTATTAAGGCTCATAGCAAACTTTACCAATTAATATATTAAGGATTTTTTTTTTTAATTTTTATGGTTTCTTACCATCTTATTATTAGCCACTGTGTGAAATTTCCTACCGTTAGGGTATGATTACCATCCACTATCTAGTTAGGATACAAAATCAACTTTATCAGAAGAAAATTAATCATTATATTTATATTCAGTTGCAACGTAACCTTTCGGATCCTAACTTGGTGGAAAACTACCGGAGGCTGGTGGACGACCGTAAAACGTATCAAGATTGGAAGCACTACGGAGCACTGTTCGAAGGCGCCGACGATCACGGCACAGCGCACTTGGTCGTCATCGCACCAGACGGCAGCGCGGTCTCAGCCACCAGCACAATCAACTACATGTAACTATACATACACTTACATTTTATAAATTAACCTCTGTACCTACCGGCTATACATTTGTTATTACACTTTAATCTATGGTACCTCAATCGAAACGTAGAAAATATCTTGTCTGTACAGTGGCAGCTGTGTCGCGGTACTTTCGTTATTTCAGACTGCTACCTTGTTTGGGATTGTGGGATGTGGATTTAATATTAATATATATATTTTCAAACCGTTATGACTAGCTTAATAATCATGAGCTGCTGAGGCATTCTTCCACATGAAATGAAACAAGAGCAATAGTAAAAGATAATGAGGTAGACAGTGCCGATGGTGTATATTTCCCACGTTATTCTAGATATGCTTTCTATCACTTTAATTTACCAAACAGAATTCGTCTAGAATTGAACAAAGTTATCTTAAACATCTAAAGGCCAGGACACTATGTTCGTATAGTTGCGCAGTCTCTGATCATGACCCTTTGGGGTATGCATATTAAAATGACCCCGGAGATACGCATGTTAATTCTTTTAAACAGATGGGGTTCACAAAGACGCTCACAATCTCTCGGCTTCATGCTAAATAACGAAATGGATGACTTCGCCATACCGAACCGTGAGTCTGCGTACGGTCTGCCGCCATCGCCTGCCAACATGCTGGCGCCTGGACTGCAGCCGCTCAGTTCGATGACACCTGCCATCGTGCTCAAGAACAACGAACCGGTGCTAGTAATCGGAGCCGCTGGAGGCACCAAGATCACCACGCAAGTGTCTCTGGTGAGTGAATCTAGTACAGATTTGCTATAATGCACTAAAACAGTTTAAAACTTGACATCTACCACAGCACAGTCTCTGCTGACACAGGGTAAAGGTTCAATGAAATAAATCGTTTATTACACATATGATGTAGCTTACAATAGGTAAAAGTATTTACATGATATTATCAGTATTTCCGAAGACAACCACATACACAATAAAATCAAATCAAAGTTAGAAACCTTACCTCTTTATAATATAACTTGCCTAATAAACCTATATGTATTCATCAGGGGTGCGACCGCCTAATAGGGATGATGACTAATTTTTGTTTGTTTGTCCATCAGGTAGAGTGTTAAAAAATAGTAAACACGTATTTTTTAATTTTTTTCGTAATCATAAAATTACGGCGTTACATGGAGTTGAAATTTCGCATGACGTCACGTTAGAGTACGTTTTCTACTCAACTGTGACGTAGCGAGCCCCCACTCCTCAACTTTAATGCCTGTTATCTAAGCTATTTCTTGTTCAATTGAAGTAAAAAAAATACGTATCTAATATTTTTCTATTATCTGACTGACGGACTAAATAGAATTGCATTTTTTTGACCCAGTCATCATCCCTATTCATGTTACTACTTTGCCACCTCTTTTGGTAGATAAATTTGGGATAAATAACTAAATTGGTAACACTGATACTATCAAATTCATAATCATCTCTATTTGTAGTTCGTTCGTCGTTACTAAAGTATACATCAAAATAGTAAAATAAAACGATATATCGCATTAACATAGATAAGATATCGTATCCAATGGCTAATAAAATCATTTCTAGAGAGTTAGACACTGCTATACCTAATATGTAGTCATTTTGCATTATTATTTATCCGTGATTCCATAATGGAAGTTAATTTTGTTTCAATATAAGTATTTGGTTTTCTATTTACTTTCTCAGATTGCAAGAAACATGATAGTAGAAGGGGGAGATCTAAAGACTGCCCTGGATCGGCCGAGACTTCACCATCAGTTAATACCCATGGAGATTCAATACGAGCACAACTTCAACTCAGTAAGTTACATTATCACAATATACTGTTGAAGAGCTTTAAATATAAACTTTTTGGTCTAAATCTGAACACTAGAGTATGTAAACCTTGAAACCCGTTTATGAAAATATAATGGACCACATGGACTTCACATTATTCTTGACATTTTCCGTTTGTTAATTTGAAGTAAAAGCCACCTCACTAAATTATTTTGACAGATTAATGTTAAGTTACCTTCACTATATATGTTGGTGACCTATACCTATAGTTGGTGTAATATAAAATATTGTGTAATTAACTGCTCTTTTGCTCTTTGATTTAATAAGACAACAAATATGCAAAACATGGGCTTGGCAAAATGGAAATAAGTAGGAAAGTGGGCTTTGCGTTTTGAAATAACATAAGATTAGCATCTCGTTAAAAAAATTACGTAATTTCTAGTATAGTTAGCCTTATTGTGCATGCGTTGGTGCGGCCGGAGTATGAAAGCAAAAATATACCTTAGTATTTTAAACAAAAGCAAAGAATTATCTCCACTCAACCAATGCTAAAAAAAATCAAATCCATTATTTTCAGAACATCTACATCCTTTCTTTCTTACAACTCCCAATCATAACCAATAAGAGAACAACAAATAATATGTTTAAATATGACTGTTGAAAAAAATTTCATTGCCGAGTACCGAAGTAATGAGGAAGTATTAAAAAAAAAAGAAAGCAATAGAAAAGCACGTCCACTAGATGGCGACTCTAGCAAAAGTTGATTTTTGCAGAAAACGAATGGAATAAAGACAGTAATTTCCGTTCCTTTTAACTAACATATTAAAAAACTGAAATCGGAAACGTTCGAAACGTGAAAGAAAACCGGAAGGGTTGTCATGGAGAAATCAAGAATGTACCGTAGCGTCATCTAGTTTGATTTCAGGAACTATTGTTTTTTTTTTAATACTTCCTCATTAATGTTTGTTGCTCTTAACGGTAACATTGATTAGCTCGCTAGCGTTACGTTAGGCAACTTTCGCAAGGGTCGGTCACGGGATGGGTGACCAAAAAATTATATTATCTCTAACCACTCTGTGCTTCGGAATGCAGGTCTGAGTCCCTCCAATGGGTAAAACAGCTGATTGTGATGATAATGACATTAAGACAAGTTTTATAATTGCAGGCAGTGATAGCATCTCTGCAAGCTCGCGGGCACGCGACGACAGAGCTTGGACTGACAGCTGGCTTCGCAGCGGTGGTTGGTGTGGCGCGCCAATCTGACGGATACTTACACGCTTACACGGACCGACGACGGGTCGGCAGCACTGACGGATTTTAAATTCAAACCGACTTTAACCGGTTCACCGCGTACTTTCATTATCAGTAATACTAACGTGGATACTTTTTTCATGTATATCGTTTTACTAAACCGTCAAATTTAACTGGTGGAACTAGGATATTTTCATCTACAAATAATTCCTGTCTCTGTTGATTTCAGCGATTGTTTCGAATAACTATTGGGATTATAAAAAGAAATGTTTAATGGATAAAACTGAGATCTCACGGAAAATCGCTCTGGTTTTCCACTGCGGTTGGGGGACCGCAGCTCGCGTTAGGATGTGAAATTGTACGCAATGTACGTTAACAATTTTCTCTCATCATGCTAGTTTCGAATTGAAATAAATAACTTTCCAACTGCCTCAAAGGCTGCGGGTAAATATCACTCCATGTGTCGAAGCCTTTCAATCGGAATATTGCTGAAAACTCATTTTTAAAATAAATATTGATTAATAAACATTATGGGAATTGACATTCCTATACCAACGTTATTGCTGTAAACCCATTTATGTGAACATGAAAAAAAAAATGCTTTTAATTTTTAACAAGTATTGCCAGTCTTGCTTTTATTATCTATTTGTAATTATTATTTATTATTAGTTTGAAAGTTCCTTTTCTTATAAGTATTTACGAAGTTAGGAAGCTTAAAAATTATGTACGTTCGATAATGATATTTTGTCGAAATCATATCTTTGTGTACTATTCTAATTATGCTGTGAATTCTCAAAAAGGTTTTTACCGATGTTTATGAGATATAGATTAGGCTTTTCACTAATACTAAATTTTAGATGACAAACAGTAATCTAAATTGATTCACCAAAGGGAAAACCAACAAAATTTAAAAATTTTGATAATCTAACCAATCTAAGCATCGATTCTTTAACGTTACTAAACAAATTAAAACACAACATCATGTATATTTTGATTGTTTTATTAGTTATGCAAAATTTTTATGAGTACTTTATTTCTACTACTATATAACAGCGGATGGCTTGCGCGATATAGGTAACCTACTGCCTTGGTTAGATACTTAAACCAAATGGGTAATTTTAAACACACAATTAAAATTTCAACAAAATGCTCATTATTTCAAATCTCATTTATAGACCTTGGGTGTTTTAATTTATTTATAGTGTTTTTATTATACAAATATATACCTACCGACAATATACAAGTACAGTCAACAGCACATCATGTTATGCAAATCCGTCAAAACTCCTCACTTGACTTTAAGCCTTAACGTTTCGCAGGTAGAGATTAAAATTAACTATTGTGGTAGATATTTAACATATTGTGGTAGTCTGACATACAGCCGTTTGTACTAGTAGATGTCGCATTCAACTAGGTTAAAACAGCCATTTAATCGGATGACTAAGCGACATGCATACTTATCATGTTAATATTCACTGTTTACAGAAGTATGTACAATAGTTACATATCGCATTTTCATCATTCAAGCGAATATACCTAGGTATATCAAAAAACCGAATTATATATTTTTTTAAGTTAAAATAAATTAACTGTGTGATGTTTGTTACACGTATCATAGAAAATATCTTAGATAATTTCGTCCATTGTTTTTACTGTAAATAGTTACGGATAGTTAGTTAGTATGTTTTTATGTTTTAGTGATACTTATTTTATGACTATAAAATAAAAAATTTGGCAGTGTAATTTTTTTTATTCATTTTATGGGTCCCTGAGACGATCAAGAGAACTTGTCAAGTCTACGTAACGGAATGCAATACTGATCGTTTACCGCGTTGACTTGACGCTACCCATCAAGTTGTTTTAAGTTCAGATTGACGGTACTTGATGCGCATGTGCGTGACGCGACTTGACGGGTTAAAAAAGTCCTCAGACAGTATTTGGAGTAAAACTGTTCTATGGACAGTATGACAAAAACACGAATGTCAAAATAAACTGGATTGTGCAGTGTTTTATTAAAAACGGGCAGAGTGAGAGAGTAAATTAGTAACTCTTCATCTCTGTCTTAGTAGTTTTGTAGGATGTCCACGCGTTTTTAATAATTTCATAAATAGGTAATATTTAATAATTTATTTATTTATTTCATATGGACAACCAACAGCATACATATTTCAACTTACTTCAGTAAACTACAGTTAGGTTTAAATCTAATATATATACCAATTATAGGTTGACACAGCATTGTTAACATATAAGTGTAATTTTAGACGACACCTACAATTCACTCAACCACTGATAAAAACACCAATAAGAAGGCTAAGGCACTCTCCGGTTCTCAGTGAAAAGTCAGATCAAAATACCTGTAACACAGATCACAGGCTTTCAGAGAGCACGTCAAACCCAGTCCTTTACCCAACCCAATCTAGTCAATAGAACTAAAGAATTCCTGAATCTGAGCTTTAAAACTTAACTGTGAGTTGAAAAATATATCTAGATTAGGCAAATAAGAACCGACATCATTATATGCAGCAGAAATGCGAGGCAACGGTGAATGCCTAAAAACATTTGTCACATGATAATTTTACATGACCTAAATTAAACATTTACAGATAGAATTTTATAAATTTTTACAGATATTATGAATGATGATGTTAGAAATGTAACCGATAAATTAGTTTTTATTTATCGCTTTACCGATATTTATTTTGTAGGAAATAAAACAAGTACATAAATGGTATTATAATCATCTTTAATGTATAAATCAATTAAAAGGATAGAAACTTTTTTTTTATTAATTGTATTAGAATACAACGCATCATTTTATAACTTTGGCTGGTATTATTGTCCTCCATTTTTCAGCTAGACTTTTATCCTTTGGGATCCTAGAAACACAAGAGCAATTTTGTCATGGTCAGCATAAGAAAATTATTACTTTATAAATATTTATACAAACTAATGTGTAGGCCATTCAGATATTTTCCAAAACATAAATAAGCTAGTTCTCGTTTTTCATTTTCCAAATAACTTTGTACCTACCGTGAAAATATTCAAGCTTCTTGAATTTATGATATTAATTTCGCAGTGCTTATTAATAAACATTTTTACTGTAATGTTAAGCAAGTAAATTTTACAGAGACTAAAACGAAGAATGACGGGTAGCGTAAGTAAAACTTATAAATGTTTACAATATAAACATATGAAAATTAATTTAAATCAAAGTTTTGTTTCTTAGACACCCTATTTCATCACTGTTTAATAAATAAGGAAAACAGCTTACCTGTGGAATGTGAAGTCACAACCGTGATACCATTCATTTTCGCAATCAGCCAAGCAAAGCAATATTTAATAATTAATAGGAAAAAAAAAATCCTATCCTTTTAATTGATTTATACATTATAGATGATTATAATAACATTTATGTACTTGTTTTATTTCCTACAAAATAAATATCTTTACCGATAAATAAAAACTAATTTATCGGTTAAATTTCTAACATCATCATTCATAATATCTGTAAAAATTTATAAAATTATATCTGTAAATGTTTAAATTTGGTCATGTAAACATTATTAAATATTACCTATTTATGAAATTATTAAAAACGCGTGGACATCCTACAAAACTACTAACAGAGATGACAGACAGAGATGAAGAGTTACTAATTCACTCTCTCACTCTGCCCGTTTTTAATGAAACACTGCACAATCCAGTTTAAATTGACATTCGTGGGTTCTATAGACATTTCGGATATCGTTCCATGTCCGGACATAATTCCTAGAACTATTACGGACCGAAATTACTCTTGTCTACGCGAACTAATGAACTACCTTACTCGAGTCACACTTTAGTTTTTGAATGACTCGAGTAAAAAACTTCCACAGGACATAGAGAGAGATTAGAAGTATAATGATATTAATTTAGTATGGGAACCGAGTGTCGCCTCTCCGCACACAAATAAAGATTAGATGAAATAATCATTCATTTCGTGTGAACAACCTAACTACATGTGACCATCGTGTTTTGTTTGGCAAGAAATAAATAATGTTACGTACGTGCATAAAAATTTGTTACACTTTTTGGAAGGGAATGCAGTTTTTGGGTTGACAAAACTTTAAAGACAATTCTTTCTATGTTAAACACTTATAAAAAATACTGTATTGCAGGTTTATAGCAGTCAGTAAATACATTAGACATATAAGAATAAAAATTATGTACTTTTCCCCTAGAAAAGTCAACAAAAGTGTGTCACAACGTTCTGACCATTTGGATAAGGAGAGGAATGAAAAAAATGCATGTTTTTGTTCTAGAATTTTTTGTTATGAGATTTAAACCAGATATAGATAATGGATATTTAAGATCCTACGTTATTCAATAAAAAAAAATTCATAACGACTTTCGACCTGGAATGGCGATTAGGACGAAACGAAAGAATCACTCACATGCTAAAATTAAAAAATACATTAAAAGAGTATTGACATATTATTTATTTAAGAAATCAAGAAAATAAGCGGCGTAAATTAATAAATTAGTACTACGAAGTGACATCTAGTGGCCAGAGAATCAACTCGATGCGCCAAGTTAACTCGATATCTCGAGTGCATTGAGACTCGATTGATATTTTTCACTCAAGTACGAGTTTGAAAAATTCACTCGAGTGACCCGATAAAAACAGGCCTCGAGTCGCATCGCTAATATGATGACATTCTGACCAAAGAGTAGTATGATAGTGATGACAGACACAGATGACAGATGATGTCGAATTTTCCGTTGTTGACGCGCGAAAATTTACTTCTGTCAGGTTCCACCGGTTTCTTTTATGTGTAATGTTAAATTGAATAATTTTGCTTGTATAACGGAACAAGGCCATATTTAAAATAAAAGAATAATAATTTTGCTTTGAATTTTGCCAAATTTCCCATTTAATAATCAAAGAAGTACAGATTATATATAGGCATCATAATATTTAACAAGATGGATTATAATTTGTCTGAGGGGTCACTCCAAGTAAAGTATACTTTTTTTATTTAATATAGTATATTATACTTTTTACTATAAAAATAACATGGAAGTCACTAATACATTCCATTAAATTAATTATTTATTAGAAATACTTTTAAGAGGTATTACTTGCTTTATCAGTAAAATAATAACTAGTTCTGACATGTTTTCTATTGACGGATTAGGCCTATCATGCATCTTTTATAAAGAAAACAACATAGCTTCAAAAGTAATTCTGTCGCAGCAGCATTGCTAGCTGCCACCATGGCATGCTTGTTCTGCTGGTGCTTTGTTTACATTTTATTAATATATCAACAACCTAACTACATGTGACCATGACAATCTGCCATGTTTTCTAGTTTGTTTACCTTGACTTTAAATTTTCTGCTAAATTATGAGGCTAATGAGACACAAAAAACACCATATACCATAATAAAACGTCATAAATAATATCTCTTAAATTGGCAAATATTTTAGTTGAAAGACTTGCATAGGACCTACAAGAGATCTAGAAAGAACATAATACCCTTTTGCGCCCTTTATTTACCCCTAAATATATCAAAAGTGTAGACAATCTGTACATTCTTAAATTGCAATTTATTTTTAAAATGATGCACATAGTTTGTACAATGTGATTACTTCCACAGACAATAATGAACGGTGGACACTATGAGAAACCAGTCATGCAAGTACTTGGCAGTAAAAAGATCCAAGGCAGTGGTGCAAATGAAAGATTTAGATTACTTGTCTCTGATGGCAAACACTCCCACAGTTTTGCCATGCTAGCAACCCAATTAAATGATAAATTAATCACTGGAGAGCTATCAGATTATTCTGTTGTACAAATAGACAGATTTGTAACATCTTTACTTAAAAACACTGGCAAAGGAGAAAAGTAAGTTTTGTTTCAAGAGCACAAAAAAATGCATAAGTTTAGTTGGTAAAAATCAGTTAATAAATTGCAGTTATCATATTTTATGTACAAGGTGTCTATTCATTTATAACTTACCTTTGTTTAAGAAATTGAACTAAATTTAATTTCTGGATTACATTCTTTTTTGAAAAAAAATAAACAATATTAATCCTATTTTTTTTTTAATTTTAGGAGAGTAATGATCATTTTGGATATTACCATTCTTGCTTCTGGTACAGACGTTGGTAAAAAATTGGGAAATCCTCAGACATGGTCTGAAGATTCGGCGGCGGCAGCTCCGGCGCCCGTGATGCAGCCAGTGCCCAAACCAACTGTTCAACCGATGCAAATCTCTAAACCGTCAACAGTTACTGGAATGAACACAAGCATTTTATCTGCACAAATGACACATCCTATAGCCAGCTTAAGCCCCTACCAAAATAAGTATGTCACATTATATGAAATGAAATGAAAATATCTTTATTCAAGTAGGCAAGCACTTTTGAATCGTCAAAAAAAAAATTTTTCCCCTACCACTTGTTCAGGACGTCTTTTAGCCAACAAGAAGAACAAGCGAAAGAATCTTACCAGCTCTTTATCATGAGTAATGACATTTACATATATCATGTCATTACCAAGATTTGATATGTATGATACTAAACTTACAACCACTTTTATAATATTGACAATATTATCTACAATCAACTACAGTATAGTATATAAGGAGTGATTATATGTCAGGACTTTGTGGAGTGAATTAGTTAAGTATACTGAACAACTTTTATTATGGGAGCAACATGAATTCATTCACGAAAAATTAATTACCTGTTTCATAAAAAATTGTAATACCTACAATTGTTGACAGTATGAAACAGCTGCTCCAGTAGAAAATGTTGTTATTATAAGTATGAAATTTTTTGTAGCAAAAATATAATTAGAGGTCAATTTAAAAACAAAATAACTTCCTTATTAGATTCTTATGATATGGAGCACTGAAGCAGAGCATTTGAAGACACCACCGATCATATAATAAAGCATAAAATTAAACTTAATACTACTTCAATTTTAGATGGGTGATAAAAGCTCGTGTTATGAATAAATCTCCTATAAGAACATGGAGCAACGCCAGGGGTGAAGGCAAACTGTTTAGCATGGACTTGTTTGATGAGAGTGGTGAGATCAGAGCCACTGCCTTCAAGAATGAATGCGACAAATTCTACGATATGATACAGGTCAATTTAATTATATTAATCATATATTTATAATGTTGCCTAAATAAATCTAAAACAAGATTTTTGTCTGCAAAACCATAAAATTTATTGGTTTTATACAAACTACTTAAAACATGATAATTATGATTTTGGTCATTGAAAGTCAATATTTTTGATGCACTGCATATTAGAGGTTTGTTTTTGGCGTTAAGTTTAATTAACAACTTCCGAAATTATTTTTCAATTGCTTATAAAGTATATAAAACCAATCCTTTTGATATTAGTATAAGTATTTTTGGAAGATTAAATAGATCACTTAAATGGAAAATACTGTCAATTCAAAAATAATATTCATTACAGGTTGATAAAGTTTATTATATTAGCCGATGTCAGTTAAAAACAGCTAATAAACAGTTCACAACTTTGAAGAACGATTATGAAATGACTTTCACAGCTGATACAGTAGTGGCGGAATGCACAGACGACATGTCGGCATTGCCCTCAGTCAAATATGACTTCCTTCCTATCAACAGCATTGCAGAGAAAAGTCCAGACAACATTGTTGGTACGAATCATTGTCTATTTAGAACCTTGTATATTGTGTGTGCATTTGAAACGGGCCCTGTGGGTGTGCCTATATCTTCTATTTACGACATCTCAACTCAACGTAAAAATCGCGCCTGTTTGCTTGTGGAAAGTATGAACCGGAGTTATTCCAACCTGCCCAGCTCCACCAGAAACTCCCAACACCCATCTGTGATGGCCTCCTGGATGCTATTTTAGAAATGCTTTTAGCACAGTTCTTGTCAAAACCACTACGGTGTACTTTTTGGTGGGGTTCCTGAAAGTTACCTAGTGAGTCAAGATATCTTGCTTGGTAATTGGCCACTCTGCTGCATTTAAGCATCCTCCGCACAGAGGGCTATCAGTGACACTTGGATTAAAAAATTATCTATTAAAGTTGCCATGATCCAGTGAAAGCTCATATTACCAGGCATGTTAGTAATTTACTTAGCTGTCTCTGCAAGGCCTACATTACCTCTGCAATATGAAATTAAAAATCTGCTGCAGGCACACATTACACAGTTTTGGTTGACAAGGGATTATTCTGAACGAATGTCATCATAAAACCTTCATACTTTTGTGATCCCAATTGTCTAGTGCTAGACTGAAATGTCAACACATCTTGAGTAAGAAATAAAGAACAGATAGATAGATACTCAGTGGCGAAACGCTTCTACAAAATAAACGCTTAAATCACTTCTGCTTGTAGTCAATAGAGAAAATACAAAATAGAAACTTTGCTATCTCATGGGTTTTTTGCAGATGTCATTGGGGTATGCAAATCTGCAGCTGATCTTCAGGAGCTGACTGCTAAGAGCACAGGTAAACTTCTAAAGAAGAGAGAAGTAACCTTAGTGGACTCTTCAGGTGGAGGGGTTAGTATTAATTATATGTTATTAAATTCCTTGTCACAGTACAATCCTATTAGACACTTCTGATCAACAACAAAAATATTCAAGTATGTTCATATTATTTTGCGTTCTATCTGAAACCAATTTGGCTAAAATAATGATAATAATAAATATGTCTTTTGCATTTTAGATTGTTCTTACATTATGGGGTGCTGAAGCAGAGAAATTTGAAGGCAGCACCAATCCTGTAATAGCAGTTAAGGTAAGTACCTAAAAGATCATTAATTATTTTAATAATAATAAATTTATTTGAATTTTCCCCTACCATATTCCCTTTAAATTTGCCTTTAAACTCTTTAAAAAACTTGAAATCGATATAAGAAATATTACGGCTGCCTGATGTGTTGTGAAATGTACTAAGAACACATTTTGGTGTTGCCTACTAAAACTCTGTTACATTATTTATGAATTCTAAAACTACTGAGTCGAATTAAAAATGTACCTCGGTGGTATGGATAAGCGCCGCGGTCCGCGATCGTTGTTGCTAAGCAACTTTCGTAAGGGTCGGTCACGCAAAGGGTGATCAAATAATTATTATCTCGAGTTACTCCGCATTTGCAGTCGTCAATACCCTCCAATCCGCATTGGGCCAGCATGTAGTGTCATAGCCCATCCTCCTTAACCATCCATAAGGAAGGCCTGAGCCGCTGCAGTAGGAACGTAAAAGGCCTGATGGTGATAAGTGTCAAAAACAATTACATTTACATTTATTAAATATCATGTTCTTTTTAAATGTTATCAGGGTGCCCGCCTAACAGAATTCAATGGCAGTAAATCACTATCCTGCCTGGCTAGTACCATGATGAGACTGAACCCTGACCTGCCTGAGGCTCATAAACTGAGGGGCTGGTATGATAATGGTGGTGCCGACATGGAAACTGTCAATATTTCAGCCAAGTGAGTTACTGTGAACATAAATTATTTTAGATCTAGTTGATGATTATTTTCATGCAAAGTTGTATAGAAATCTGGGTAGTGCTGGGGCAGCATGCAAAAGTTTTGAACATTTTGTATACTTAATCAAGTCACTGTAAAAATTAGTTATCGTATCACCATTTTTGTTTTTAATGATGATGATGAGAGTGATGTATACAGAAGGCGTGTATACAAAAGTCATTCAGTCAGTCATTTTGTTTTAATGGTTTTATATACACTGCTGCTCGTCAGTACCACAATATATCAAATTTCCTTAATTGATTTGAACTCTACCTATAATACATTGAAATTTAAAATCAAATGGAGAAATTGGACAATTTAATATAGCCTGACGTTGTATGAAATAATAACGTCCATAGTATTTAAAAATGCGATAATTGTTTGCATAAAAGTGTTTTATCACATTCACAAGTATTTCCATTTGACATCTTATACATTTTTTAATTATTTTATTTAATTTTTTTGTACAATTTGATAAAATTGAAATGATTAATAACGTTTTGACACAATTGTAATATTTTGATTAAATACCATTATTGTTAAATTTGACACAAAATTATGTAATTATGAAATATTTTAAGTTTCATCTATTTTATTATTATTATTAGGTATTATTATTATTATTTTTTGCATGCTGTTCAAGATGGCTAAATAGGTCAAAGCTCTTAAACTGAAATATCACAACTGTATATATAACCCTATTTATTGCAAATAAAGACATTATTATTATTAAAAAAAAAAAAAAAAACCAGTAAACTCACCAATTTTTTCTATTTCTTCTCGTTATTATATTATGTTATTGAAAAAAATTATGAATAAGTAAATAAAATTTTGACCTTGTAAAGTCCTCGAAATGACCGAGAAGTTTTACAACAATCATAATGGGTTTGAAAATAACTTAAATATAGAGTTTGATGAACAATGCACCATCTTCTGTCCTTATCTCATTAACAAGCGTATTGATTTAGTCTCTTTTGGTCTTTTGGGAGCCATACATAAATTTCATCAAATCGGGACTAGCTACCCGTGGTATATCGTCAGCCCATCTCATGGGATGAATGACGAAGAATAATATTCAATAGAATTTATATAGACAAATTGTGACTGGGGGGGTGGCCCCTTATCTTGACATTCAGCCTTATACACGTGAATAACCAACGTAAACAAAATATTTTCAGATCTGGACTATATTCAGGCGGCAGCAACGAATGGTTGAGTTTCGCAGACGCGGAAGCTAAGCAACTGGGGTCAGGCGAGAAAGGCGATTACTACAGTTTACTTGGAGTACTAACTTTCACGTTTAGTGACAACGCTGTATACAAAGCGTGCCCGCAGGAACAGTGCAACAAGAAACTTGTCGATCAAGACAATGGTCTTTTCAGATGTGAGAAGTGTAACAGGGAGTATCCAAATTATAAGCATCGGCTTCTATTAGGGGTGAGTTGATATTATTTAAAACAATAAGTAGTACTGAAAGTGTTATTATTTTTTTATTTTACCCTCCTATCCGCATTGGGCCAGCGTGGAGGGTCATGGCCCATCCTCCTTAACCATCCATAAGGAAGGCCTAAGCCCCTGCAGTGGGGACGTAAAAGGGCTGGTGGTGTGAAAGTGTTTTTAGTATTCTATATATATGGGAAACTAAACATTTTTCATGTCTATAGTCGATTAGAAGTAATTACATGAGGCTTAACAATTAATTAAGCAGATATTTTTATTAAATAAACAAAAAATTTAATGATGTAATAAATTATTATTAGTTATTAATAGTTCCTACTTCATTAAAATTCTAGTTTATTTAATAAAAATATCTCATCTATTGGATAAAAATATGTGCTTAATTCGTTAGTTCAGGCAAATGTGTAATTACTTAGACTCAACTAAAGATACGAGTGATACACCCTCTGCAACTTAGAAAAATTTAGCTTATATATTTCGAAAAAAAATAGACAATATCACATATTAACTGAATTATAGAAATCGAAAACAAAAACACTACCATAATGTAAACAAAAGTCCATATGGAAAATTGTATTTTCCCCATTGACTATTGATTTATTTACTTACATAATACATAAATATTAGACAACATCACACACCTCGCTCAGATCCCATGATTAGAGCTAACCTTGTATTATGAAGTATCCAAACAAAGAAAGAACCACAACACCCAGACCAGAGATAGTATATAAAAGTTAAAATCGGCCACTCATTGGTCACGGATGTAAAGGCAAAAAGAACTCGTTCGTCATATGTCTAATTAATTGTTCAGGCAAATGTATCAGACCCGACTGGCGATCAGCGAATAACAGCGTTTAATGAAGCAGCTGAAGCGATGTTGGGCAAGACCGCCGCCGAAGTGGGCCAGCTGTTCGACTACGACAAGAACGCTTATGCCCAACTATTCGAGGAAGTGAAATTCAAAACTTTCGTTTTCAAGTTCCGCACCAAGATAGAAACTTACAGCGTAAGTTGCAATATATTGTTACAGTTTAAACTCGCACCAAGTGATTCGCCTTTACATTCATCGTGCGAACTGCGAAGCTATGGAATTCGCTAACGGACTCGCTGTTTCCGGACAAATACAATCTGGGATTCTTCAAGTCAAGAGTGAATCTGTTCCTTCTAGTCAAGTGCATGCCTATCTAGCATAAAAAAGTTTTTGACGCGAATCGGTTTTCGAACAAACCGTCTTATTATAAACGCGGACTGGCTTTTATACCAGGTCTATACCATTACCCAACTAAAATAAGTAAACATGTCTCAACTTGACGTTTTACCTTCCATCATTGTCAATTTATTTTCGGCTGCCAATCGTTTAAACCTAGTAGTATTTAAAGTCTTCGTTTTATAATAACATGGTTGAGGTCATCAGGTCCTCTAGTTGCTTAGTGTTTATTTCCTGTGTTGTACTGAGTTTTGGTATTGTTTCACGAGGCACACTGTTTCATCTTAGTTTGATGAAATAATATGGTGTAAGAAATATACTTGAACACAAGTGTTCTGTGAACTTATCATCTGAAAGGTGGCCTCTCCGTGAAATGTCGAAAGGAACATTGACATTTTTTAGTAGAAACAAGATAAATATTACCTTAGACTAGACTGTAATGGCTGGCTTGATGATTAACAATATCACAGTATTGCATGCAGTCTCGACACTGGTTGCGATCGCAGAGTTCATTGACTGAGCTGTCAAGAATTTTTGACAACTGTCAAATAGCAAATGATCCTAAAACTGCTGCACTTCCTTTCAGGACGAAACTCGTTTGAAAACAACAGTTATGAACGCGCAACCTGTCGATTACAAAGATGCCAATTCACGACTAATCAAAAACATAAAATCTATCACCGGAGTACAAGTCTAATAAACGCAGAGCGAATTAATGTTAAGTGGTATGAATGTGTTGAATGCAAAATTATAAATGTTGTTGAATTTAATAATTGTGGAGTGAAATATTCTTTTAATTGTATTTACAAACAGCAGCACATCAGGCTACCACAAAATGACATTTCCGTAAGCGATTTTGAATACTGTCTCTTACAGAACTGTCTCTTAACCAAAAATTGCAGAGGAATTGGGTAACCTGATCTACTGTTGATTCTATTATTTCTTTTTTAGTTGTTAAAGTGAATAATTATGTCGACTCTTCAATAAATTTTTGCTGTTATCTTATATCCATTAAAATTGTATACTTATATTTTTGTTTCCTTCCTGACGACGCCCTTGCAAATTCAATTATCTATACTAATATTATAAACAGGAAAATTAGATTTTATGTTTGTTTGCATCGAATGCAATGCTCTGAAACTACTGGACCAATTTAAAAAATATTTCACCTACAGGACATCATAAGGGATTGACATAGGCTATAATATACAAGTGTACAAGTAATGTATATAGGTACACACGACTGCACATCAAATTACCACAACATGTCAAATTTCCTGAATCTATTTTAAACTATCTACAATGCATTAAGGTTTAAAATGAAGTGGAGAAATGTTACAGTTTTGTAAAGCCCTACGTGCTGTACAATAACAAAACGATTTCTCGTTGATAAAAAGAATGACTGGAAATAAAAACAAACTTGTTCACTAGTACTTTATTGAATCTCATTGATATGACTCATAATCTAGCTAATAAAATGGACAATATGGACACATCCGCAGGCAAAAATGATTTCAAGTTTTGTCTTATATTTTATGATAATTGTTCCATATTCCGCATATTCTGAACTTTAATGACTAGGGTTATTTGTAAATTGCCCACGGACGTGATAACTGAATGAAGGTGCATAAAATAAATTAGCTAGTCTCTTCAATAATTACAGGGATTACTTCTATATAAAATGTACCGTACACATTATCATAGATACAAAAAGTGTACATTCATTATGAAACATTATATTTTTGCGATTATCGTTATATATATTTCAACGAATCAACTGTAACTGGTCATAAATATGTGGCAGTGTTAATAGAATCACCTCGTATCAAGTGTATTATATCTATGGTACGTTCGAAACGATATTTGAGCATTTATATATCTTGTACCGTGAGATTGCACGTTGGCAATTTGCTATACTATATTTTATTATAAATCAAAAACTATAGCTATACTTCAAGATCAATGAAGTAGAATACCAGACACGAAAGTAAACTCAATATCAGAAAGTTTTGTTAAGGTCATTAGTATTATTTTTTTTAAGTTTTTTATTTCTTTAATATTGTTAGTTTCTGCGTAAAGTTTATTTTCTTGCTGGGTACTGTAGCAGTCGTAATCTAAAGATGATCACAATACAAGTAAGAATCAATCGATATACATTATTTCGTTAGAAAGTAACTATGTATCCAAGTCATTAAAAATGTCTTTTCAAAATATAAATAACGATTATAAAAATAATACAAGATACGAGATTCTATGAAATGTTCAATTGACAAATTTCATGACTTAAGAAGCTAAGTGATTAGCTTGTATGTTAACTTGCACCGATTATATAAAAAATTAATGATAATCACGACCGTTTATCGATAGATAAATAACAAAATAAAAGTTGTGGTGCGAGTAAATCTTAATAAGTAGATAGTTAAATGACTAAATTGATTCCAAACACACCAATGCGGTAAATACAGACTTCATACACAAATCATCGTCTTAATAAATACAACAGGCCTCGAATATTAGCTACCGAACTATCACAACATAGTATACAATCTTTTACACAAAATATCAAATTAAAGCCATAACCAAGAGATTATAGTTACACAGAGATTAGAAATATTATGTATTAGGATCATAATGTCCAACTATAAAAATCACTGCCTGAACTTCAACAAAACACCGGATTAATTTTTACTGTGCTAACGAAGATTTCGTCGTATTATTTAAGATAGTTAACACTAAGATTACGCTTATGTATATAAATATTATAATACACTTACTATAGTTAAATAATAGTTCACTTAAAAGACTAATTTTAGATAAACAGTAAGAAAATATTATGTTCACTCTTAAATAAATTTTCAATTCCAAATCAATCAATTGATCGTGATATAAATATGAAATTTCATAAACTAAAATAGGAATGAGATTCTAAAAATATCACCATGGAGACAAATCATCGAGTACATACATAAACAGTTATAAATACAGACAATTATAACGTGTAAACATTATTAAAAATAGAATTTACACAGTCGTACCACACTAAAGGTAACTGGAGAAAGTGTCCTTTTTTTTAAATTCCGTTAAGATATAAACTGTCAGTCGATGATGACGATCTCGTCGAAGCAGATCCCCGGAGTAACGCGCGCATAGCACAAAGAGTCCTCGCTCAGTTTACCCCCGGGGTCAACAGTCATGTTATAGACACACTCTGACCTCCAATTTTGCTAACGTTAACTTATGACATATCGAAGACGTTTCAATAACATCCCTTTTGACAGACATTAACAGGCCCGGATCTAAGATTTAATTTAGTGGGAGTAGAAACTTTGTACGGTGCCCTTCCTCTACAATAAGCTCCGCGAAGACGGATTTCATATTATATATTTTTGCAGTGTATCGTATTTTTCTTTATTTTCATTTAAGGATTTTGAAGGTTCCATAAATGATTTTGGCGCCCTCTAACACTGGCACCCGGAACAAACACCCCCACTTGTCCCCCCTAAATCCGGGCCTAGTCATTTCTAAAAATACCAGCCAGATAATGCTGTAGAAAAATTCAATCTAAACGTTATTTCGATACCATTAAGTTAACATTAATAAAATCTAGGATTAGTATATGCGTCGGTACACAGTAAATAGTCACATGTTGTGAACACGGACACATGTGTGTAAGTGTACACAGTCGGTTTGGACACGGACACATGTGTGTCTCGACACGTTAACGTGTCACGGCCGGCGGTCGCCCGACCGATCCGGCACCGGAGCCGCCGCCGCCGCCGCAGCCCCCCTCACACGCACTAACCCAACGACCACGCACGTATTAAAATACAAAACAAAAAACCTAATTAATTATATAATGCGAATAAATATAAGCGACGCTCTTTGGAACTGTTTACATTCGAGGTACATACACTACGACGGAATGTATTCTCCCGAGCGGTAATGGCCGGTGTACACGAGATATAAACTATGTAGCATCGTGTGTTCGTCTAGAACTTTCTAAACACCGGCACGGTATAAACACTACTTAGAAACTAAAAGCTAACAACTTAACCAAATATGGCCTCAACGGGGCTTACTCTCACTCACTATTACGTAAACTGATACCTAAACTAGGTTGTACTTTTGCGCGAAACACATTGTATAATTTAATAATCACTCGAAAAAATTATATCGAATAAATAATAGAAACCATAGCACTCGCACTGAACATGGCCAAAAACATCAATTTCATATTCGAATTAGTCGCCTAACACGAGTACCTAGATGAGATTCACGATTTTTCAGATTATTTAATTTTCAATCAGTTGAAGTACTATGAACGTCCCGTTAACAAAACAAGTATCCGTGCAATATTATTATTGGTCTGTTACGATCTTTTGTCGTAGCCGGCGCTGTCCGATTGACAGTGCGAGACAATATAAGCTACACGACGATTGCGTTTCCACATCCTCACCACTCATATAGTGCTCCAAAGATAACGACCTTACAAAGCTTTCATTTAATTTTTATTGCAATGTTTCTTTATATTTCGCTTTTCACGATATATATCAAAACACTATCCTACATATATTGATATCGTTATGTTCATATGTAAACAAACAAAGAGTATATTATGAAATAGATTAAAGATATCAATCTGACAAGAAAAGTACCATCTGATGACCTGCTAAAAATAAGACAAGTATAACGCCATCTGACAGGTGCTTTTGCCAACATGACGTCACATGGCGGGTCGTGTTTTGAATTCACTTGATGTTCAGAACAGAACAAAATGCACAGAATTTTGTTATACAATTTGTTAATTAAATTTTATTTTTCATCAAATTTCATAATTTATTATTTACTACCGTTTAGGCGATGCAAGTATTTTTGTTAGGTCGTCACCGATGCAAGCACTATCACATAATAACTATACACAGAAAGCGATGTTCATACAAGCGAGTGAAACGGTTCCGTTTCATTCGCTCGCACGGACATTACCTTCTGTATGTAGTTATTCAGTGTATATATAACTTGTAATATTATTATATGCCAGGACTTCGTGAGATATATGAGTTAAGTATACTGACTAACTTTTACTATGGCAGCAATACAGAATTCACGAAAAAATAATCGGCTGTTACATACAAAATTGTAATAATTACAATCGCCAACAGTGTGAAACAGCTGACTATTTTTTCCTGAATAGGATAAGTATTTATTTGACTAATTTTCAAAAATTGATTTAAATTATGCTTTATTACATATAAGCACATAACATTAATATTTTGGGAAAATTTACTGTATTTAAAATAAAAATCTAAGTTAAAGTATAAATTTTGCGGAACCACGCGAAAGACGAAGTGTCTGTCGTACGCCGCTTATGACTGCACACGTAAGTAAATAAACAAACCTCATCAAGCTAAAATCGTAAGCCATATTTACTAGCGTGCGACATCATTGATGTTGTAAAACCGTTACAAGGCGTTTTCGTCACAGATAAATTGTCAAAAAAAAATATATGATTTTTATTTTGCGTAATATGCTAAAATTATACATTTCATTTTATTACGCAACCACTTTAAAGGATGCCACAATTTTTACTATATATTTAACGTCGTCAAATACCCTTATTCAGTGTTGCTTGTATAGTAATAGTTAAGTTGTTCAGTATAGTTAACTCATTCACTCCACGAAGTCCTGGCGCGTAATAATATTACACGGTATACAGTGTGGCGTGTGTGTGGGGATGTGTGTGGGCGTTATGTGCGCGCGGTGGTAGCGAGGGGGGGGACTTACGGCGGCGCGGCTCACGGCACCAGGTCGGGCAGGCGCCCGCGGCCCTAGGGGCGCCCGCCGCCCTCCGGCTGAACCACCTGTAACAACGCACACAATTATAGTAGATATACAGCCAGTTGCACAAACGGCCATTAATATTTTCATTACTATAAAGTGACATTACCCCATACAAAATTGACATTCATTAGAGTTTTAAAGCGTCAATAAACCTTAATGAACGTTTGTGCAACTGGCTGTTTGTGGTGTAGACAGTACACGAAAATAAATACATATTAAGTGTTTAATATACTATTACCGATAGTCAAACTTTTATTTAAAGCTTAATTGCGAAAAAACTACGAGTAATATTTTATACTCGTTGTCACGTGACCGCAAACAACGCGTGACGTCACACACCTCTTACTCATAGCAGAGAGCTTAGTGTAAGTTTTTTTGATGTTTACGTTCACTGTCGATCGTGAGCGGGTTAAGATTTTAGTATGGAATCCGGTACAACGCCCCTAGCGGTAATTTTTAGTAGCGGTAACTACTAAAAATTTTCAACGCCCTCACTAGTGAACGTGTTAGCATAAAACTTACACTTACCACTCAGAACTCTAACAATTTAACCTAATGCATACATAGAATAGCTGCTATTATATTTCATAGCTTTTATTTTACAACTTTGTCGGTATGATTAAAATGTACACTCATGCTAAGTTACTCCTTTCTAATACAAATATTTTTGGGCTAAACCGGAGGCCGACGGACATATACGAGTATAAGGATACATAAAGACGGACGAAACTATAAGGGTTCCTTGTTGACTATGGAATGGCATAGAACGGAACATAATCTGTTTGCCCTACCATACCGCTTCCAAGTTTGCTTATATGGACGAGCCGGCCCTGGGTACCTAATCGTACAAATTAACAAGACACCAGCAGTGAAAACTTGCTAATGTTAGCGTTATTATGGAAAGTCAACAGAACTTCAGGCTCTTTATGACAGTTCTTATTACTAGATCACAAAATAATAAATATATATCTATCACAATTGATGTGACGAAGACATTGCACTAATATTATTGGTCTTTAGGTAGTTAGTACAATGGTAAAAAATGCAAGTATTTGGGATTCTATTGATATGCTATTATTACGCAAACTTTAGCAGAATTGCCTTGCTGGTCTGCTACTTATCTTGGGACATAATTAATACTCCTACGAATTAACATGACATCTGAAGGCCTATTCTATTCCTTCGAAAACGAAATTTAGTCGGTTTTCGAAATGATAATAATAGGACTTCAAAAAAATGTTTTTTTATAATTTATCGATATGCATAAGATTTAAGAAACTGCTATAATTCGTTCGAGGACGAATAGAATAGGGCCTCAGGTGTCATTTTAATTTGCAACGGTTAAACAATCCATTATATTGTACTTACTTTCCGTTGCTTGAAGTAGAGCTCCTCGCTCTCCTTGTCGCACAGTAAAAGAACAACTGCGCCAAATAAGAAAATGGCGGCGCCCCAACCCACCCCGTACGCCCAACCGAACTCCCACACCGATCTGTTACCTAAAACCATCACTTAACATGTTATAAATCCCACCAGATAAATGGATATCTGGATGACAGTCAAGAAATAACATATCAAATATTCAGTAAAACAGTTAAAGAATAACATGTTGCAAATTTAGTAATCGTAAGACAGTTAAGGAACACCACGTTACAAATTCAGTCAGGTATAAATATAGCAAGTTAACAATTACGGAACAACATGTAACAGATTCAATATAGAATGAATACCAGTTAAGTAACAACATGTTACAGATTTAGTGTAGAATAAATACATCTGGCCTAGAGTTAAGAAGCAACATATTACAGATTCAATAAAGAATTCAATAAACCTCTTGGCTAACAGTTGAACAACATGTTACAGGTTCCGTAAAGTACAAAGATCTCTAACTATAATTTACAGATTCAGTCGGATATAAAGACGTTTGGTAGAGCCATGTTATTTTTAAAGAACTTACCTAAATTTAGTTCTGCAGCAAAACATACCGGGTATATGACTAGTGCTATTAATATGCACATTACTGAAAAAAAAAAGAACTGAATTTTAATACATACATAATATTTACTTATTTGCACATGCTTTTTGAAAACTGAGTCAGAGTCACATAATTTAACAACTTTGTATATCGGTGATAAAATTTAGCCTGCATGTGTTTACAAATTAAATAAATATATTATATAAATAAAAGTTCTATCCGAAATATTTAAATCGTCAAGGTCACTTCAAAATTATTTATTGTCTTTTTATTATAATTTGAATGTACTGATCCAACCTGTTACTTAAAGCCAAATTTACATTACAGAAATGATGCTATGCATGATGAAACAAGTTTCAATAAACAACTGTTGCTGGCTGGTCAACATGGAAGCTTTATATAAATCGTGGCGAAATTAATTGCGTGACTCCAGTTTCATTAAAAATATGCGTATGACACGATACTACTCTATTGTCGTGAAATTAATATGTACATGAATTGTGAAACTGGAACGTCGTGGCGCAGTGAGATTGCAGAACTTTTATAGCTAAGAAAATTGCATCTGCTGTGATGGATTGTCTTGAACTAGTGCCTAAAATTATTTTCAGAAACCCAACAAAGCTCCTCAGATTAAAATCGCCTTTATACGTCTCTTCCGTTTCTTGCACCCGGTTTCCGAATCGAGAATTTAAAGTTAATAACGTCTCAAACTGCACTTAAACAGATTTTGGTTCCCAGTTTAGTTTCTTAATCATCAGTTGATAGCATTTTGATAAAAATAGAACTACGACTTTTTGACTTGTAAAACGTAAAACTTAAGTTATTGTTGATAATTTATACTTTTTTCAATTCAGAAACCGGCTATTTAACAATTTTAATGCTTTATCAAGGCAAGTAAACTTAGATCTTCTTGACACTAGCGAGGCTTCGGCTAGGTTTATCGTAAGGAGTATGTTCTTCGTTGATTAGTAAGTACATATTAATCAAAGTTCTATGTATACTGCTTACTACTAATACAAAATTGTGTCACAGCCCACAAGGTCACAGAGCAGCAGTATTGCCACTATTATATTGATTGTTATATAGGATGGAGAAGATTAAACCTATTAGAAAACGTAAAAAAAAAACAGGTAGATTAAATTTGATCTGGCATCATTGTAGTCTAAGTTGAGAGTGCAAAGATCTATGTAGTATAGGTAGACTAGAATCTGATGACACAAAAACAAAAGAAACAATCTTGATTTCCATATGGCAATATAAATTTACAACCATTGACAACTGTCAAGTCAAAGTGTGAATTTGTTGAGAAACTTAAAAATATTAATTTATTTAGTGAAAATATCCAAAAAGTCATTGATATTTCAAACGAGAAATATTTTTTAAACGTTTATTGCAAAATTTTTAAAAAGAAGCTGAAGTTCAACGAAATAATTCGATTTTAATTCTTGTCTTGATAAATTGACCGCCAACTAGCAATGACAAAGTCTTGACACTTAATTTTTATTGTTAAAAGATATTATACTTATATTTTACTACGCATTTGCAATATTAGTAGAGATTATCAAATAAACAAATACATAAAGTAAAGCTTATTTTATTTACCCGTGTTTAATTCCTGGCCAACTAAAATATTATTGGGTTTTTCTGCTGTGCATTCGGAATATTAGATGGGTAATATAGAGTGAACAGGCACATATTTGTGCACTATAGCGTGTCAGTCGGGAGTATACTGTTCAATTAACATTAATTGAGGCGGTTGATTTTTTTATATTAAAAATATTACAAGTATCAAGACATTTTCATCCTTTTTCCCCAATGAAATTTTAATTCTATAAATTAAAAATTCCCTATTGGCCATTAGATTCTGGAACACCTATAACTATTGATTGAGGTTGTAAATTGAAATAGCTGCGGACGCTAGTGACGTGCGTGCTCATTGTACAGTTGTATAATTCACATTTGCTAATTTCATTGTTTAGAGGAAATCTTTCGACAAATAAATAAATATATACATACATGCTAACGCCATGGCTAGTACCGCGAATCGGTAGTAACGGAACTTGGTGCGGTTCTCTGTGGAGCGTAGACCGAGCCCGGTCAGCAGAGCGCCGCACACGTCCGCCGCCAGCGTCGCCACGCATAGCCCCGCCGCTGCCCTAAAAACGTATACAATGATCATTAGCCTGTTAAGAGGACGCGTAACCAAAATAACTAACTATCAACTGGTTTTGTCAAAAAATTAAGCTATAGTTAACAAAACCGACACAATGCGAGTCGCACTAACGCACGAAGTTCTGTACCATACCTATAAATGACAAACATCACGTTTTTGAACGGGATCCCCCTTATATTTTCTCATAAAAAAGGCTAAGTTACCGTTTTTTCCATATATTAATACAATAATGCAGTTTTATAAGGAAAATTGATAAATAAGAGTCACTCTGTAACAGAGGGAATCGTTATTATTATTATTTAAAGTAATAGACAGTTAAAACTTTTGAATTTACTGCGCAATTTATCTTCCTCTATCCTATCTATTTTATTGCCGGGCACCATTAGATAGATAGGAAGTCTTTTGGTTATAAGCTCTCATATTCATGCCCTTGCATACACACTTACAATAAAGTGCGCGTGTAGCTTATAAAGTACTGTCATCAACACAATTTTTCCCTATAGATTAATATCCGATAACATATTTACAGTGAAAAAAAAATTTAATTTAAATGCAGTTTTAATAAATTAATATTTATTAATAGTTTCATGTTTCATTTTTTTTCTTTATTTATATAAACTATTATATAGATGTTTACAGCACACGTTAGCCCTTAACAGGAAACATTTCAGCATATCAACTGGAAAATTGGTCCTTCGAATTAAAAGCTCGGCTCTGATCTTATCTTGAACTCAAAGTACAAACCAAATTATGGGTAATCATAATTTGGATTGAGCTTTGACAAAAATCGGCCAAGTGAGACTCGTATTATCCATTAAAAAAAGTACAAAAGAACACGTTTGTTGTTTTCTATGAAGTTCTACGCTTCAAGTTAAATACAACTGGCCGACTATTACTCGTAAACTTGTAAAGCCAACTTAAGTGTCGTAGTTTTCCTTTTAAATTCGTTATATATCGTTACTACCGTAACTTTTGAATTTTTACCAACGGCCGTTTAGTGGGTAGAAGGGGGAGGACACTTGACTAAAACGAAAATTAACTCTTTAAAGCTTAATAAGTCACAAACGGTTTACTAAATTGAAAAACGGCTTTCCCACATCCCCGATGTTTTTAAAAAAGCTATCAAACTATGCCATACACTATAAATAACATGTAGGGGGGTAAGCCTAAAAAGATTTTTTAGAAATTTTACTTTACCACTTTGTCGGCGTAATTAACGTGTATACTCATGCCAAATTATAACATACTTTACTTGTATCAGTAGTTTTTGTGCTAAACCACGGACGTACGGACAGGTAGCGTGTATATCATAGTCTCTGAAGTCTTGATGTGACTGTAATTATCCATATTTGACAGCATGTTATTAGCATAATTCAATTATCACTTACTTAATATAAGGAGCCGGCCTCGCAGCATAGCATCCAGGCTGTGCTGTTATATCGAAAGGCAACGGCGTGGGCGCCTCCGGGTCAATGCAGTGCATGAACAATCCCTGTCGCCATCCCGCCGCCATCAGCCAATCGGCTGATGCCAAACCCAACACCATCAGTATCACAACCAATAGGCCGCAAATAAGCGCGATCACCTGGAATCAAAGAAAATAATGTTCTGTTTATTTTCCCAAGGAAACCGTATATTGTATTTTATCTACACTCAAATCGAAAAATTCGAATTAAGAATTCAAAGACGATTCTATACATATGCACTTTATAAACATATATACATAAAATTAAAAATAAAGCTTATTATTGTACCGCCAACTGTATCATAATCATAATAGTTATTTAAGATACGAGTGCGGAAAGTAAGGTTTTACGAATAAGGGCCAAATTGAAAACACGAGCGTAGCGAGGGTTTTCATTGGCACGAATTCGAAAAACCTTTTAAAGTTTCTTACAACATTTTACAATTCCTTTTGCGAGGAAATAAAACAAATATATAGGTTAATAAAACTAAGTATGTATTAAAGGTAAAAATTATTTGTTAAAATTAAACGTGATATTTGAACATGTTTTCGTGTCATACATTTTTATTTGAAAATATTCGTTCTAGGCTCCTTGAAATACTTTTGCCTCTAAAGTTTGACATATTTTTATCAAGTTTTTTTAAATATCTTTGGTGCTCAACCAAAAAAAAAAATCCTTTAAGCACGTGTGCAGTAAAGGATTTCAGTACATTTTTATTTAACACGTGTTTAAAGACTCACTTTCGGTGTTTACAATGGATAAAAAGAATAGCGCTTTATGAGCAACTGAATTGAAAAACTCATTATAGTACCGCTATTTTTTTTTATTCAAAAACTAGTCTATGGTTTTAAGATTAAAAAAAAAATGGCGCACGCATGCGTAGTTTGAACTTAATTTCCCGCGCGTCTCGTAAATTTTTTGGCGATCGTGTTTTTGTATTCGGGATACCAAAAAATACTTCCTAGTAACCTACCTACTTTGTTTAATTTCAATTTTTCCTATGATTGAAGATAAAGTAGTGTATGAAACTGCATATAACTTAGGTATTAAAACACTTGAGTCAAATTGACTCTCGTGGTTTAATACCCCTTCTTATATAACAGTTTCATAAACTACTATTATATTATTGAGAAAGACTACAGTCACAATTGGGATGACAACTGGATAAAAAAATGAAATTATATTTAGTCCATCAGTGAAATAATAGAAAAATATTAGATACTTTTTTTTTAAATTTTAATTTAACAATAAATAGCTTAGATATCAGCCCTGCGATTCTGTAAAAATCCAGACCGGAATTTCGAATTCACTCATGTGTCCGAATTCAAGTCGTTGAGTGTAGAAATTCTATTGATACCATTTATTTGTATAAAAATACAAAACAAAATTGATTGATTATACGTGTCTCAGATATTCTATTCCTATATCATTTCGAAACTCACTTCACTTATGCCACGAAACGTTATTACCAATTTAAGGTTGAGCGGATGCCGTTTTTTGAAGTGAATTCGGACACCTGAGTGAATTCTAATTCGGATTTGGATTTTTACAGAATCGCAGGGCCGGCATTAAAGTTGAGGCTCGCTAATTCACAGTTTTGTAGAAAATGTACCATAGCTTGACGTCATGTAACATTTTACTCAATGTATCACCATAATTTAATGATTACGAAAAAAAAATATACGTAGTATTCATCAATCTACCTGACGGACAAATAAACTAAATTAGACTGACATAATTAGTCGTTATACTATTAACAATAACATACAAAAAAATAGGTTTCGTAGCTTGGTTTTTTGTTGTCTTGCCTAACATTGATAGGCAAAATGTAATCCTGATCTTAATGATTATATTTACAAGTCTTCATTACACGATTGGAGATTACATGCTGTAATCGTATAAAATAAATCTTCAATTCAAAATTGGATAAAATCATTATGGAGGTAAAAATAAATGAGGCGAAAATACATGTTTCTTTTCAATACAATCCAATTAGGAATTCAATACAATTCAACTGGGTATTATGCAAACAGCAGCGCTAACCTCTGTTTTACTATGGTGGCATTTGGCTACCACAATATGTTACTGTTGATGATTTTGAAGTCAATCGTCGATATTATTAAGGAATCTAGAAATATGAGTTTTTTATAAACTTCACGTTGTTAACTGTAATGATAATTTAATTTACCTACTCTGTATAATAATTAAAAACGCTTCAGCAAATCGGTTGAGGCAATGGACAGATTTATAATTTGTAAAATTGACATATTCTTGGCAAAATTAGGAGAATAAGCAAGAAAATTATTCCGGACAATCTTTCAATCGTCTTCTACTTTCATAGTTTTCGTTCTGTCCAGTATTATTCATGTTAACGCGCTTACTAGTTAACGTAAAACTAAAACTCACCACCCTTATTAGTCATTGGAATAACTGACCACGTGATCACGTACCTAAACACAATCACTTATTCATAAAGAAGGTTAACGTGGCATTACGCATTCTCAACAAAGGAGTGTTAATTGATAATTTAAACATATTAATGACGCTTTTTATAACGATAAGTACAAGTTTACGTGAAAGGTAAATAAAGTAGTTACTCTGTATTTTTTTCAAGTAAAATGCGTTTCAATACGTGAATTAGGTTTGATAATGATAACGCATCAAAAAATACTTATTTAATAAAAATAAATATTGCCGATAAAAACATCTTAATGATTTTCATAATATTCTAGTAAAAATAAATAAATAAAAAAATAATGTAACATATAAAATTCTCGCGTCACAGTTTTAGTTACCATCCTATATGATTTTGATGAGATTAGGGTTTTATATCAAATTTTATATCTATATCAGGTTTGCCGAGTTAGCTAATAGTTTTCTTCTAATAGCTAAATTCTAATGATATATTAACATCGATATAGACGGTATTACCTACACAGATTTGTTGATATAACCTGGAGAGAAAACAGGAGCAATCGATCATTGTTACTCCTATGGCGACCTAACTTCGTTAATATTCGCTATCTCGCTCTAGCAGAAAGGTCAGAAGGGTATCGAGTTAACCTCAACAGAGATAAGTGTCAACTAAAATTATAAGACGTTACACATTATATATGATTAAAGAAAAATGATTAAAAAATTCCATACCATTCTAAAATACCAGCTGCCCCGAGATGAGATTCGGAACCTTACCCAAAACCTTTCGCAATCTGCTATTCTATATTGATAAATATCTTATATTGATAATAGTTACACAATATATATTTAAAATACCTTCTGCTACACTTTCAGATAACGGGTTACGACTGTTCAGGAAACCAATGAAGTCTACCAGATTTCGGCATGACATATTAGAAATCTTATATGTATTATCTTATCACCGCTATTAAAACTTTTTCGTTTTGCAATAGTCTTTTTTATCTTAGATTCGTAGTCTTTTGATTAGTTTTTCATTACCGTAACGATCAGCCACACAATTATTGTAACGTTAGGGGTGTGCATAATATAGGTATTTCAGCCTTTTTACAGAACATGGCCGAACTCTCTAATTATAGAATTCTTTTAAATTTGAAAGACATTCACGGACTTCACGCTACAACTATTTTACATGTCTTAGCGAATGCGATTGAATAGTTTTTTTAAGCTGTTGAATATACACCCGGTTTCTGAATTGAGTATTTGAAGTTAAGCACGTCTCAAACAGTGTTTAAATCATTTTAAACGTCATTTGAACAGGTTTTCATTACTCTTTAATATTTTTTAATGAACAACTGCTGATAGTGATTTGATAAAACTAAGACTTTTTGCCTAATGAAACGTAAAAATAAATAATTTAAAGAAAAACAAAAAACCCGACTGCGTAAAAACGAATATTAAAAATACATGAAAAAAAATACTAAAAAGAAAGAAACAAACCCAGTACTTTAGAATTCTGTTAAGTAATACTTAATAACTAAACAATTGAAATAGTTTAATAAATAAATAATCGATACACACATAAAACAAATCATTAATTCTAATCCAGAAAAGAACGACTCATAGTCCGGGCCCTTATTTATTTATTTTTATTTAAAATTTGAATGGGCATAGCTCATCGATCTTTTTTTTCATTATGGCGTCTAGTTGTCGCTGTGATGAATTTTGATTACTGTCATGTCTTTAGTGACACTCGCAAGGTTAAGACGAATCGATTGACGACGATCATTAATATGAAAAAATCAAATCTTGTATAAAAGTCGACTTAAAGGTCCAAAAATGATATTACCAAAGAATGTATAAGAAAATTATTAATTAATAATTTTCTATTATTTAATTATTTTAATAATTAATAATTTTATTATACATTCTTTGGTAATATCATTTTTGGATCTTTAAGTCGTTAATAATTTTCGTATACATTCTTTGGTAATATCATTTTTGGATCTTTAAGTCGACTTTTATACAAGATTTGATTTTTTTATATTAATGATTAAAATATTGTGTTAATATAGAAAACTTCGCATTTGGTTCTTACTTGTACTAAGATAAAGAGACCTCGTACTGTAACGGTGTGCCGTACCAGCGTTTATTTCGTCCTACGTTACAGCATGCAAACTTTTTGTCTTTGATAATCAACATCATTTGTTTTTATTATTCACCTTTCGTAATTTGAAATTTTGACTAATCAAATATGTCCTTTATGAATGTCAGTTAGTAAAAGAAATCTTCTGTTGTGAACATGCTATTGTAAATCGTATAAATTAAAATATAAAATATTATATGAAGTTATTATGGTTAAAATTGAAATTATATATTATTTAAAATAAAATTATATCTTGAAATATCGTCCAAGATTACTTATCAAGGCAAACCCAAAAAGAGGTATGTATTTGTTCTATTTAGTAATTACAATTTTATATTTAGGTAACTTACGAACTGTTTTTATAATCATTTTTTGTTTGTTACAGTTTTTTTTCTTTACCCTTTACATATTTATCATAAAATAAATCAATTCAGTCAAATCAATTTGATGTAAAATTTTAAGGCGATGATCGACGTCAAAATCATCAAAATCGGCCTACGCATTTGGACATAGACTGATAAACACATTAACCACCTAAGTTATTGAGTATATTCGGTT